TCGCATAAGATGGCTGCCGTTGCTAGGGTTGTGCCGACTAAGTATTTAACGAGTATCGATACAATTTGAGTAAAAGTTCTACGTAGGTATAAGTTTAGGGATTAGCCAGCTGATTAACGGTATTTTTTTATGGGAAATCATCTAATGTCATCTCCGGCCTTTTTCGGGACAGACCGTTACTGACTAAAATCAACTCCTGTTCCTACTTTGCCGTCGGCCTAGCTAGAGCCCGGAACCCGGGGTTAACTTGGTCTCTTGATTGGCTAATGATTTTCTCAAGTCGAATTTGTATTCATATAATTCTACGTAAAGCGTCTTTTAAAAAAATAGGACTGTGTTTATGAACAGCGTTTAATGGAATGGTGAAATAGAAAAAGATAGTGTTTGTTAAATGTTTATCTTTATATATGTGGAAAACCTGTGGGTATTTGTGAAGTGCTCGCGCACAATTTCGGCGCGTCTGATTAAGCGATGATATCTTCGAAACTACGTTAGCACAAAATAGATATGTAGTGAAGTCAATCTTATTGTATGTATCTCACTTTTTATTATTACGCTTGGTGGTCGCACTGATGGACTGGTGATTCCAGTGCGACCACTTCACAAATACCCACAGGTTTTCCACATATATAAAGATAAACATTTAACAAACACTATCTTTTTCTATTTCACCATTCCATTAAACGCTGTTCATAAACACAGTCCTATGTTTTTAAAAGACGCTTTCCGTAGAATTATATGAATACAAATTCGACTTGAGAAAATCATTAGCCAATCAAGAGACCAAGTTAACCCCGGATTCCGGGCTCTAGCTAGGCCGACGGCAAAGTAGGAACAGGAGTTGATTTTAGTCAGTAACGGTCTGTCCCGAAAAAGGCCGGAGATGACATTAGATGATTTCCCATAAAAAAATACCGTTAATCAGCTGGCTAATCCCTAAAACTATACCTACCGTAGAACTTTTACTCAAATTGTATCGATACTCGTTAAATACTTAGTCGGCACAACCCTAGCAACGGCAGCCATCTTATGCGTTATTTTGGATTGTAGGTAGGCACCTTTTTTTCGTAGGTATTTCAAGTCCATATATTTCCTATGTCAATGGGTATAGCAATATGGCGACCAAGATGGCGATCGGTATACCAGCACACTACGGTAACTGTGGAACTAACAGTGTCACAGGCCTGGGACTATACATTGAGATAGAAAATATATAGAGGCGCCGTGTTACTATAGAAGTATACATGCTTATACAAATATGAGGGAAATATGAAACAAACTATAAAATATCATTTTTTCTCACTCTTTCTAAGGCAATAATTGTATTAGACAAAAGAGACAACAATATTTAAGTTGTTGCTTAATATGGAAACAAATCATTTTGACATTAGCAAAGTTGTAGGTAAGTGCCATGTCCGCCATCTTAAGCGCTCAGAGTACCTGAGTTTCATGGTAGTTGTCCTGTCAAACGGTTGTTTATGTTTTAAATTATTGCGGTTTTTCAGTAAATTACAAAGAACCATTTTTTTAAACTTCAAATATATATAGTGAAACAAAAAAACAATATGCCTGTGTGTTGTATTGTGCAGTGTGGTACAAAAAAGAACGAAAATCAACCTCAATTGTCTTTGTATAGGTTAGTAAACCGTTTTCATCAAATATTACTTAGAATAATCCACATAGATAGAAAAAAATGTCACGGATACTTTAATCTATTGCCAAAGTATATATATTTACTTTTATTTCTGTCTGTGAGACAGTTTTAGTAAAAAATTGGTGTTTACAATAATATGTCAATATGGCATAGTTACGTACCATTTCACAAAAGTATCGATATAATCTCCCATTTAAAATTCAACATATATTATACTAAATAATCTATTTTAACAATGGATGTTTCCGCAGTTTTGTGTAACGCTAAAGTAAGACGTCAGTATTTTGGTATTGGTTTTAGTTACATAAGTAGAAGTTCAAATTATCATGTTTTATAATTATACGGGCGCGATTGACAGAGCGGCGTTGGCGACGATCCCAGTGCGACCACCAAGCGTAATAATAAAAAGTGAAATACATACAATAAGATTGACTTCACTACATATCTATTTTGTGCTAACGTAGTTTTGAAGATATCATCGCTTAATCAGACGCGCCGAAATTGTGCGCGAGCACTTCACAAATACCCACAGGTTTTCCACATATATAAAGATAAACATTTAACAAACACTATCATTTTCTATTTCACCATTCCATTAAACGCTGTTCATAAACACAGTCCTATTTTTTTTAAAGACGCTTTACGTAGAATTATATGAATACAAATTCGACTTGAGAAAATCATTAGCCAATCAAGAGACCAAGTTAACCCCGGGTTCCGGGTTCTAGCTAGGCCGACGGCAAAGTAGGAACAGGAATTGATTTTATTCAGTAACGGTCTGTCCCGAAAAAGGCCGGAGATGACATTAGATGATTTCCCATAAAAAAATACCTTTAATCAGCTGGCTAATCCCTAAAACTATACCTACGTAGAACTTTTACTCAAATTGTATCGATACTCGTTAAATACTTAGTCGGCACAACCCTAGCAACGGCAGCCATCTTATGCGACATTTTGGATTGTAGGTAGGCACCTTCTTTTCGTAGGTATTTCAAGTCAATATATTTCCTATGTCAATGGGACTATACTCGGAATTTTAATTCCATTCCAGATTTGACAATATCAGTGTTGCAGCGTTATGACACGCATTAAATAGTGACTGTACCACAGTATAAATATCATACAGTATTGTAACTCGGCCGCTTGAAAGAAATAAATACCTACAGCCGCGCGGTACGTAAACATGCGTTAGGGCTGCTCGTCTCCAGTATTTTAATTACCTTTGTCTACTTTCTGTTTCCATTTAGTTTTGTGATTGTAAATATCCTTTTTTTTATATAAACAAATAAAAAGCTTTAGAAATAAACAAACAAAATTTCTTTGGCCACTAATGCCGAACTGAACAGCTGACTACGAATGTTCTAAAATCACAACCCTCAAACATCAAAATATTACATGAGTCTAGCTGTTTTATTGTTGTTATTAAATATTTTCTAGTATTATTCATAAACGCAGATAATAAACAAATATTATTAATAATAAAATACCACACTCTCTACTTTGAATTATACAAACTAACAAAACATACATGAACCGTTTTAACACAAGCGTAAGTAGGTAGGTACCTAACGTATCATGATTCATTCAGAACCAGAACCGCCTATAACTACCTATTTCACTCGTCTCAATAACTTTATTCATATTATTTATAAATTCAAACATCTGTTTTCGTGAGATAACTGGAAATAATGATCCATAAAAACACACATTATGTACCTACCTAGGCTACTAGTAAGTAAAATTATTTTATAGTCTTACCTTTCTGAGTTTCCAGGTAATTTAAAAAAAACTTATGTCTGGATGCGTTATTGACGAATTCATGCAACCAAACATAATAACAGCACAATATTTCCTATTCGTCATATTAAATAATGTACTCGAGCTGATTTCTAAATAAAAGACAACACACCGTCCCTTCGTCACTGCGGTACAGCCGCGTCCTTCTGCGTCCCGAGCGCGTCCCGACATCGGGCGCGTAGGTATAGTTCGCGTTTCGGCCGTTTCTATGAAGTTGAAATACTTGTAGATATTATTACCTTGACTGTACTGTGACTCCTACTGCGACTGTGATTCCTCTCGTTTATAAATTTACTCTCGTAAACTAAGTTTATCAGGAAATAAAATATTTCTGAACCGATAATTTAGTTTTGACAATTAATTAACGATCTGAGACTTTTCTTTTGTAATTGTGTGTGAAATTAATAAAAAATGTGATCATGAAGCAACATGACACATAAGACAGACATTTTATAAATTGTCGCCGTCATCGCTATCACTATCGCTGTTACTTTCTGTAACATTTATTATGAATTGTGTCTGTGATATTTATTGTCAATTATCATGTCTAGCTTACTCATATTTTCCTCTTCTTTGACAACATGGGATACGCATTTAGACCATTCGGTAGCCGTAAATTTTGGAATGCCTTCCTGAAACTGATTCACTGATTGTTTATCGATTTTTGTGTTCATCACTACACTGTTTTATGTGGTATCATTATTTCACAAAATGACAGTAGGTCATGTCAAATCAGGAATCGAATTAAAATTCTGACTATAGTAGGACTGGAGTAATACTACTGACAATGACAAGGCCTAATCTTCCCTTACCCTCCCGGTCACCAAATCATCAATCCTCAAATCCTAAACCCCCAACGTCGGCAACGAACTAGCTAAACTACAAGTATCGCTTAAAAAGACGAAGCTAGACAGAAATGTCTAATCCGATATTTATGCACCACCTAGAAGCAACGCTCTCCGTAACTTTGCTAGGGAACCATGACAAATCATAAACAATGAAACAATGAATATTCGAATCCTCTAGTGATAATAATTGTTTTCAAATAAATTATCAATCATCTGTGTTGGGGATTATCGGTAAGTCTGAATCACTTGTCCGAACTATTGACATTTGAATTCAGATATTTCCACAGAGTAGAGTTGGTGGTTTAGTAGTTTCTGTATAATTGAGTAAGTACTCTGAATTGATGCAGACGAGACATATCCATTTTTCTGACAGACAGTTTTCGGCTCTACTGTCATAGAATAAAATTATAAGCTAGGTAGAGGCATTAGATTGGCATAGGTCTTAAAATGCTACAACTTAACTACCTACTAGCATGGCAACAAAGTCCATAAAAACATTTTTGGGCATTGTTCTATGTCCAGACTAAATCCAGAAAATTTTGTTTAAAGCTTTCTTGTCTTAAAATGACTGTTAGGTACATATTGACTTAGGTATTTGACTGCAAGTTTAAGTCGCGTAATTATAACTTGGGTACCTATAAGGTAAATTGTCTATTTCTGTACAGGTATGGTAGGTAGAGAGAAACAAAAACTAAAATAAATTATTACTTAGATATTTTATATTACAGTCTTAATCTTACTGGAAGATAAATAGTATAAATAGATTAGAACAGCATTAGATGTAGATGTACATATATTAAAGAAATGAATAAAATTTATGATACCTCTCGATATTTTTTCATATGACCCTACAGTGATGACAATATTGTGGAACACAGTAGAGTAACATATACATAGAAAATGATGGATAGAAAAAAAGCAAAATTATATAAATATACAAATAAACAGCATTACATTGAAATTTGAAATCCTAATGTCATAATATTAACTATTTACTCAATTTGTCTTGATACAGAATCAAATTTCTTCAGTTTATGATCATCAATATTAGGTCTTACTTCATAAGTACAAATAGTTACTCCATGTCTATGTCCTGGGGTCCATTCACCTTTTAATCCAATATAATATATTTTGGTATTTTCAGCACCAAAGTTACTAGGAAAATGCATTGTCAAATGTGATACCGATGAGAATGTGACAATTCTAAAAAAAAGATAAAATATGTTACACAACAAAATTATAAAGGGACCCACCTACTTAGTTTTTAGAAAAAAAAAACATCTAAAGTTAACGACTCTTACTTGGGAGAATATTCCAAAACACCTTGACTATCCTTCTGCAATTCAAAAACTTGATCTGGCTCTAGAGTCACATCATCAAAAGTCATGTTGGGTTTATTCTTAAATCTGAAAGTTAATTGCTATTATGTATTGAATTGTAAGAAAATGTATTGATGTATGTATTGATTGCAAGAAAATGCTTCATTTTTTTACATAAATCCTTTAACATTTAGTAATTGTTTTGGCTTTTTAGTATACTCACAATCTTAACTTTGCAGGATGAGAGTCAGAATCTTCTGCTGATATTTTGATACCTTTAAGTTTCACATTCCCCGTGAATGGTATATTAAATAATAATTCTTCATCTGCATCACTTTCAACGAACTGAAGAAAATCGAATTTAGTTTTGGTATATGGGTCTTAACAAATATTTTTTAAATAGAATAAAATAATATTAAAAGCAAACATGAGGGTACAAGCAGCAAACCTATATAATTAGAATTTGTTTGACTAATATAAAATATTAATAATGCGAAGCACTTACTTGAGTTATATCATGCCGCTTTTCCCATGGCTTAAATACAGTTTTCCCTGAGCCTTCGATAGTTTCATTTAAACATTGCAAATTTTCCTTATCAATTTTTTCATATAGGTTATACTGAAAGCCGATTTCGTCGGAACTGCTGTGATCATGATCATGATGTCCATGACAATGATGATGAGACATTGTTTATACTTCTAACTCAGAATACAGAACAAACTAAGTACCTATAATAAACAGTGCGAAATATTTAAGTATAAAACAAGAAACTTTAGGACAACCGTGATTCCATGCGTCTATCGTAGGAATATGAAACAATTTTGTTTGTCATCATACCAAACACGGTAGGTAGGTGTACCAAATCAACGTCTAACTACCTAACTACCTACGAAGTGCAAAAGCCCTATCTACTCATTCTCATTAATTAATAGTCATTAAATTTAGACTCTGTGGTGACAACAGCTGAGCATAGATTACTATAAACTGTGCTATAAACTCAGCTGACTGAGCTAAACATGGAGGAAAATTTAAAATTGAAAGCTGACTTTTCACTCTGCTTGATTGACTAAAGACCAAAGACATTTTTTTTATTTATGTAGCTAATGAGAATGACCACTTGTAGTTCAACACTCCAAACGCTGTTAGCTGGCGTACGAGCCTACCGTGGCCTCTAACTCTAAGTAAGGTGGCCCCAGAGTTTGGGAAAGAAAGTACCATCATAGGCACGGATTTGAGGATAAACTTGGCTTAGCGGAGGCTGGGGTTAGGTCCTTCGGATTATTTCGGTTTAAGAGTTTAAAGTGAAGCTTGTCGTCTTGAAATAGTACATCTAAGTACTGCTGAAAAGTATTATTCCTCCATGTGTATGGACGTAAGTAGAGTTAAATAAACGTACATGAGTCTTGGCCATAGAGAATTAGAGACAAATGAATGACAGTAAAGTGCCATAGACTGTATTTATCTACATGTCTCTATGAATATTGAAATATCATTTCGCTATCAATTGATACTTATTAGTGAGATAACTTATTCTAATTGGTTTATATAAAATAAAGCATCAAATACAATAAATATATTTGTGCTGTGTTCTGTTAAATGAGATTGCATCGTGATTGTTGAAAGGCATTAGTGATATCGAAATTACGGCGATGTCTATGTCGACTAATTTCTGTTTAGGTTTCCTTACAATAATCGTTACTTGTATTATTTTATCCAGCAGCAACAATGTACAAGCTAGTGAAAATGATGCCGAAAGCATTACAAAAATTGGACAAGGTGTGGGTCATATTATGAACATATATTACTGGTAAGGTTATAATTTATTCATTTAATCTATAATGTATCTTTCCTTATGTAAATTCCCTTTATATTTTGTTGTATACTTCGTTTCTTGCAGTTATTCTTGCGGATATAGAAAAGTATTTGAAGATTATGCGGGGATAATTCAACAAAAGTACCCAGAAATATCTGTCATCGGAGCCAACTATGATCCTCCCGGTTTAAATATGTATCTATCGCGACTGATAGTGAGTTAATCTAATTTACTTATATTGCTAGTATTTAAAGTGTTATGACTTGAGTAGTCTACTGAAATCTTATCATATCAGTTATTCAAACATTAACATATAATAACTTAATCTTTTAATTACTACCTTATTTATGTTTCAGGGTTTTGGGAAGATGATACTGATCATGTGCATACTTAGTGGAGTCAACATCTTTGCTTGGTTGAATAAACCACAGCCTGCTTGGTGGAGTTGGTGCCTTGAGAACAAACTGTATGCTTGCATGATGATGTTTTTCTTAGCTAACATGGTTGAGGGCCAGTTAGTATCATCTGGTGCATTTGAAATATCCTTAAACAACATTCCATTGTGGTCTAAGTTAGATACAGGAAGGATCCCTCAGCCACCTGAGCTGTTCCAAATAATTGACAATACATTACAGTTCTCAAAAATGGAATTGTCCAATAATAACTTTGTGCAATAATAATTTCAAGTTGCATTTTTATGTATTGTTTGTAAATGGGACTGAGGTTTATAAGATAAATAGGGTGAAATATAGCTAAAATCGTTAAAAAAATCATTTAAAATAGCCAATCAAGTTCAGATAATTATTGGAAAGATTTCTAATAATTATCTGTGTCAGGTACAATTGTCTTATGTTTTGCAAGCCTAACCCAAATTTTAAAGCTATGTACTGTGAACATTGTTTCTGAGATGTAATGTGCAATATTATATATACCTATACACCCCTGACCACAACTATGGTTACTTGGCTCAAAAAGCCTTAATTGAAAACTTATTTACTAGAAAAAACTTCCATGATGTTCATAAATAATTTTCTGCTGTTTGTTATCAATTACAAAACAATGTTTTCACATTGGAGGGTCAACTTAAAAATGCAAGTAAACATATTACTATAGTGATAGTTTATCTCAAATAGTATATTTTAAGCATGTTTCACAGCTATTGTAGCTTATAAATCAGCACTGACTTCAGCAATTTTTGTTTCAATTAAAAAAGTACTACTAAGTTTCATTTTTTTTGGTCTCTGAAATATAAGCATTTACATTAGAGTATGTCTACAAACAGCTGTAATTTTAACAGAGTTTATATTAATTAATTGAATAATGAATTTTAATTAATAATTTGAAATACAAGTGTGTTAATAATGTTTGTTTTTGAGTGAAAAACTTAAAACCACAAAACAATTTGAAGTCCTTGTATTATGAAAATAACGGAAGTTTATTAAATTGCTGACATTATATTGTTTACTTATAAACTTGTTAGTTATTATGACTTCAATAGGTATGTGCTGTTCTGATGTTTTTATATTGTTAATAGTACAAAATAATCTAATAAACTTGTAACTCCAAAATATCTAAAATCACACAGTATGTTTGTTTATTTATCTAGTCAGGATGCATTAATTTTCAACAAAGAAAACATGTCCTAACTTTGAGAAACCCTATTTAAATAAAAGTTTAAATTAAAATATATTTGTTTTTTTATCATATGAGTACTTATATACAAATTAAGATTATGCTGTGCATGACTGTGAGCCCCTAGTGTTTTAACCACCCTATGCCTTTTCCTGCCGTGAGCTGGACCGTGGATGCAAGCAAAATGATGTTTTTTAATGATTGACAGTGACCCCAGTTGGTTCCGAGGGATTTGCGGAAAATTCATTGAACACATTTTATCGAAAAAACAATTCGCCGAATGACAATATCATTTTTTTTTTAGCTCGTCACATTTGACAAATTCATTATTCGATCAATTGTTATTCGACCGATTGTTTTTTTCGGCGAATTGTTTTCGAATGAATAATTTTGTAAGTTTATAATATACCGAAAGATGCATTTAAAACGACTTCTAAAATTTCACGATTACTGTATTATTACTGTTGCGGATGCAAGCGCAATATTGTACTGCTCTAGGAGACTAGAAATAACTAGGTGGTTTAAAGTATGTAAGAGGAGGAGGCCCAATTATTCCCCCCCCCCAACTCTCCCTAATCCCTCCACAATCCCAAATTCTCGAAATCCACTATCCCCAAAAGGTCGGCGACACGGTAACTCTTCCGTTGTTGCGGCGGGCGGGCATGGGCGGCGCTGATTGCTTACCATCAGCTAAACCGCTAGCTCGTTTGCTGACGCATCACATTAAAAAAGGGATCTCTTACCTCATCCGAGGTAGGAAAAGTGTTTTGATGATACTCCTAATAAGGGCAATATATTTTTTTAAAGGTTTACCTTCTGGGGAGCCTCTGGTCAAGAGAATACTCTGTTAACGACATAACCTCGTCGATTTCACGCACACAATCCTCATCCAAGAAAAATATCTTTGAAATATAGATAAAGCTTTTTATTGCAAATTAAGTTACAACTTTATTACGAAACCACAAACTTAGGTACTAATTAAATGATGATACGTAATTTTGCAGAAGGAAAATCAACAGGATTCGATTTTTCTCCATATGTCAGTTCCTCATAACTGTGAGTTGTAACCACCTCTATAATTTATTTAAAATAAAACTTTGCCTAAAGTTATGCTTTTGTCGTGTGGGTGTGGTTACAAACATACAATTTCACATACACGTGACACTCAGGCCTGGAACAACAATTTGTGGATCACACAAAGAGTTCCGTGAGCGAATCGAACCTGCGACTTGTTTGCCCAGCCACAGCTCCAACCGTGCCGTCAATGAAGCCTTATGGTTTTTTTTTGTGAGGGGAAAATTATCAAATTATTTCTCCCGCCCAGGGCCGGGCGGGAGGGAGTGTCAGACTCTTACTGATTAAAAACCCTCCTGTTCCTTCTCCTGCTCTGGGCCGAGGTCGCGGTGCCTCATTGCGCTTACCCCGGAACCCCGGCTGAATAAAGCCTTTAAGGTAACAGTTTGATAAAAAGTGAGCCTATTGTTACACACTGGTTTCTATATGAAACTTTATCCTATCAGGTACTCAGAATAAAAAATAAAAAACAGCCTCTTAATGGTTTGAGAAAATATTGTGTCAATAAATTACAGGAATAATAATTCTACGCGAGTTGCGCGTGGCACATAGGGCAGGAGTGGCGCAGTACAAGCTCGTGGTGCTGAGCGTGGGCCCCGCAGATGGCGCAGGTCCACACGGCCTGCCCCGCCTGCCCCGTCTGCAGCCCGCGCCCTGACACCGCGCACTCGGGGAACTCGCTACTGCAGCGCGGACACGACGCCGACCTGCGACCAATACTGTGTTACAATACCTACGGACGATTATATTATTATCAGATTACTACATTATGTTGTTGTACTAATACAACGCCAATACATCCTATAAATATACTGATAATTTAATAGCAGGACTAGTTCAATAGATACGTACCATTCCGGCATGCTGCAATCGCAATTCGGGCATTCAATTTTGTTACCTTTTGTGTTTTTGGGCTTGTATCTTGTGAATATTTCTATAGCCAAATTTTCGAAAGTTTCAGGCTGTAAATCATATTATTCGTAATTAGAAAAAAATGATTGTGAAATGAATTTATGCAAGTGTAGGGTTCACATTCAAATTGTACAAGGTGGGTATATATTGCAAGTTACTTACGTCTTGAGCCTCTAATTTTATTAAAGCCTGGGAACATAGTTCAAATGCTCGGGTTTGAATCGCTATTGATGCTATCGTACACCAAACCTGTGGGTTAGACATGTTCATAATTTGATATGAATAGTAAAAAAACATAATGCGCGAATAAATACAATTAGCAGCAAAAATGTGAGCTTGTTTATAGTTCCGAATTTAATGGAATCTGTCGTGATGGTGACCTGTGTGTGCATTGCGGGGTGCAGCGCCGCATGGTGCTGCATGAGTCGTGCGGCGGCGCGCGCGGCCAGGTCGGCGCGCAGGGGCCGCGCCCGCGCCCGCGCCGCGCCCGCCGCCGCCCAGTGCGCCGCCCGCGCGCCGCGCCAGCACCGCGCCGCCTCCCGCCCGCGACTGCCGTCTGACACATACAACCCCTGCTCAAATAATGCCTCTTGCCATTTCACAAAAATGTGAAATACAATCTAGGAGCCCTCTTAAAAAATGTGTTACGAAATGGCCTCTATAAATCTGAGCAGACTGTCGTCAATTTTTAGAGGCCAAAATTTATACATATAACAACATTTAGCTAAGAGGCACAACAGTATCGACAAGCCAACACACTGATCGAGTGAATAAAATTTTACTATGGGTTTGAAGTAATCTAACGAATGCAATCCTGGGTCTAGTTTGCTCTTTCATTATAATTCCCGCCGGATTATTCTGCACACTGCTTCTAGAAACCAGGAGACATACCTCCTGGTTTCTTAACTTAATTAACAACAATTCCTACTTACCGACAGAACTTTGGCTGTACAAATGACCAGCCAGAACATAGAGCTTCTTTATCTTCAAGGGTGACGCTTTCTTCGAAGCCTCCAAATTTGCTAACTGTAACGAAAAGCATGTTAGCTTGGCCGAACAGAGTAAGTATATGAACAAATCGACTTTTTGTTACATATCATTAACTTACTTAAAGAATTCTTCAACAAGAGTAGATATGACATACGGAGCAAAAATGTGAAAGTAGAGACTGTGACTGATGTAATGATTTAAGATTGCCCAGGGACCTATAGAGAGAGCTATGCTTGGAATTTCTCTAAAAGATCGAATTCACAACGAGAAGTTCCGAAAAGTAACGAAAGATATTAATAATTAAAAATTGGTACAGCTAAAGCGGTCACGTGCCAACTGATAACCTTTGGGACTAACGGGTTGTGCAATTAAGACTATGTTCCAGCTAAGTGGGGTGACGATATTTGCAATGCGGCTGTCAGCGGTTACTTGGGAAGAGACAAAGATTGAATTTAGCGGGGTGGCTTCAATTGGAGAAGCCTTTGTTCAACTCTCGACAGAAACAAACTGATGATGAAGATTTTTCGTCCTTATCTGAGACTACAAAAATGGGGGGTCGGTGACTCTTTGGATGAGATGTACTTCATCGGTTTCAACATAATACATAATACACATTAGAATTGTTTTTGACTTAGATATGATGTCAACGCGGAAAATTATAAAAAATCTACTTGTTTACGTACTTGAATTATATTAAAGAAACTAGGTAGGTATGTTTTGTATACCTATACAATAAATATATTATTGACGATTATGAATTTTTTCAAGTTTTACATGGTTTTGTATATTTAATGACACTGTTAGGCACGCAGGAATGATCGTAAGTATTATTAATTTATACGTTTTCGAGTATAACATGACTTGCCTGATACGCCATCTCCGCAGCTTGCGTCATCCTGCCGCTTTGCTTGAGTTGGATAATGCCCTGTATTGATGGTACTTGACCAATACTTTCATTAAGGTCGTTTAACAAACTTTGTTTTGTTATGCCCACCTCCTGAAATTAAAAAGCATTGTTAGCAATATGTTTAAATTAATATTAAAACAGTACGAGTACCAGTGACTGCACGGTTGGTGCGGTGGCTGGGCAACTGGCTGCCGTGCAACGTGTCGCGGGTTCGATTCACGCAGGAAACAACTATTTGTGTGATCCACAAATTGTTGTTCCGCGTCTGGGCGTCATGTGTCATGTGTGTCAAAAAAAAAGTGAAGTGTTGGAGAGCCAAGCTTCGGCACGAATGGGTAATCACGTAATCTCAGAAAACCAGCGAGAACGTGGGTTTGTATTACCATAGCATTGTGTTTTGCCGCCTGAGTGTGGTCACCCGAGGCCCAATCCCTCCCCCTCTTCTTATCCCCTCCCAATACTTAAATATCCGAAACCTTTATTCCCAAAAGGCCGTCAATGCACTAGAACTCCTGTTACAGACGCCCACGGGCGGCGCCGATTGCTTACCATCAGGTAATCTGACTGATCGTTTGCCGACCTATCCCATAAAAAAATAACTCATAATTAAAGCTCATCAGTTATGCGGACTATGACGGGGATAAAAAAGATTGGATCTCGGATCTCTTAAAATGTTAATAATTCCTTACGTGTTACAACAAGTGCAAAACTTTTCCAAATGCAGTAATCAATAATTAAATTCCAGAATTATCATTAAAATGTATGTTGGAAATATTTGTAAAACAACATATTGAAATTATGACAAACCTTATTTCTCGGTGACGTGGTAAATAATTTGGATAGAGACTCGTTATCCTCAAGCGCCATGTAACATTTTTTCAAACCTTCAGTGTTATTCGACATGGTGTAATATTCCAGTGCACTGGTCCTGTACAACAAGAGTATTGTGCATTAATAATTGGCTAGTTTCATAAGCTAAAAATCAATTATTTCAACTTTGTGTCCGTTACCCAGGCCAGATGTTGTCGACAATGGTCATTTGAATCTTATAGATAATTACTTGTGAGGCTTCTGTAATTGTTGCGCACATTTTTAAATTTGTTGCGCTTATAGTTTTTTAATTATTTCACAAAAACATTTCCTGCTGGCGTAACGTTACCACAGCCAGGCCATTTTCTTTCTAATGGGAATATTTAAATAAATATTAGCTATAAAATTAGTTGTCTAGATAAAGTAAATGTTGTGCCTTATTTTGTATTTGTTCTTTCTTCGGTTGCGAAGTTATTCGAGATTTTGCTGCGGTAACGTTTTTGGTTTTGCTAGATCTTTGAAATGGTTAAGCGGATTCTTATCATATTTTGTACACGACTTCCGAGGACTTAGTTTAAATTTGTTGTGCAATAACAAAACCAAAATAATGCATATTTTAAAGGTTATTTCATTAAATAGAAAAACACTTCAATTGGCCCCAGCACTCTCAATAAGAAGTCCTAAGACTTACTTTAAACGTTATTTTAAAGCTTGTAACTGCCTTCAAATGTATGTGAAGTTTCATTAGTATCCCGCACAGAACAGAAAATTAAGTAGAAGTGCCCCTACACTCTTTCAAAAGGAAAACCAGTGTCGCCAAAATCACACATTCGCAAATCAAATTGTCCATTACACACATAAAAAAATACTATATAATTGGGTAAAAAGTTGAAACGCAACTTTAGCAAATCATCTTCTAAATGTTGTTAAAAATTGAGTCTTATAACAATGAGCGAAAGTTGTTATCATTTCACATGTCACAATCAATAAAGGCGTCTATCGTGTAAAAAACTTAAATAAAACAATTTACAACGGGTTCAGCCACTCAATGCTAGATGGCGCTGTAACAAATTCATTCTATTCAAAACGCTAATCTATTTGAAATAGATGTCATATTTGTATGCACTTGTACCAATAGACATTACTATTTTGCTACTCAGATAGGGCAGGGTATCCCAATATATCGATGTTATTTATTGTATTCGTGTGAGCAATATATGTAATTTATCGACACGATATACCTACAAATAATCAGTAATGGAAAAAGGTTCTAATAGAAAAAAAAAGAAAAATATTAACATTTTTTGACGATTTAATATTTTTTGGAGATGGTCAAGTTATTATTAAAGATTTCGATTTTAACATATAAAAGCACTACGCGCTCCTACAAGTTTTATCTCCTTTCCAACAAAAATATAATTATTAAAATCGGTTCATAAATAACGGAGACGAACGAACAAAAAAAAACATGTACGGTCGAATTGAGAGTCACTCTCCTTTTCGTTACTCTGTTAAAAATCATGTACAACATTATAAAATAAAAATGGTGATTAACTACCCGCACCTCCCACAACAGGATGCACGCTGTGTGTGGTTAAAACGTTGATGTGTCTATGCAATCTTAGTTAAACATTTATGAATTATACTCAAAAATTGTCAAAAGTCAATTTTCTGAACGACGATGATGAAAAATTCTCGATACGAACCTAATTTACGAATGTGTCCCATCCCTAAATGAGTAGCGTCGAAACTACTGGAATATATTGTATATAACGTCACATAACGAACAAGTAGATTTAAACTTAATTGTAATGAAAATAAGGCCCTTTATAGTTTGCATTGAAGTAATGAAATGTGATATTTTCATTAAAATCAAATATATTTAAAATTAACAAAGGTTAATACTCAACGATGATACGATACACCACCAAAAGACTCAGTTTTTTTTCTGCTTACTTTTTTGCAGTTGAAAACCGCACAACAAGGCATAATTTCTAATATATTTCGTGTTTCTTAGAGACAACCATGACAACCAATCATGACAACGGAGCGAACGATTCTGACAGCGATTGTCCCAAAATGTTGTAAATCTATACATCATGTTGATTAGCGCGCGATGTCTGAGTGGCACTTCCACTGTATTTTCTATTCCGTGGTATCCCGTAAGTATTTAACAAGTTATGATGATATTCAGTTCTTCACGAGCACGGTCTTAATGCACGCGGTGTTATTTGGCCACTGGATTGGATATATGAACTGAATGTTATGTCAATAATTAGTTGTTTAGATCAGTTGTATATCAGTAAAATTTCAGCTCAATACATTGGATAATTAATGAGATAATACTATTAAAGTCATGAGGAAGTGAATGACCGTGGTAAGCCGACCAAGTTAAGGTGGTTACGAAAAAGCGAAAACGCAGAACATTATGGTACCTTCTAAAATATGTAGGATATTGTTATAAATTTAGTACAGACATGTACTAAGGGTGACAAAAATGCATGGAGAGCTTAAGGTCGACTATTGACTGACAGGTTTTGCATAACGCTACCATTGATAACTAGATGGCGCTGCTTTTAAATGAAAATAACCCTGCAAAGCTTGAATACTTTACACTGCAGAGGCACACAATAAGGTTTTTAATGGTTAAAATAATAATTAAGAAACAATAATATATTTATATTCAAATACACATAAATTATGTTAATTTTCACATTTCCGAGGACTTAATATAGCGCCATCTAAGTCAAGTCAAGCAAACCAATTAAAAGATGGCGTCAATAATTAATAATAGACAATAATAAAAGTTATAAACTAACCCGCATTTTCGATGTCATTAAAAATGCGATCGGTAGCTCGGGTAAATAAGAATGATAGTATAATGAAGTCGAAGGGCACCGGTTCAATTCCGGGTTATCATTTTTAAATTCAGGTTTTTTAACAATGGTTTTTTTATATTTTTTATATAAAATCAATAATAATAATATATAAATAAAATATTTGACGTTTAATATTTATAAAAGATAACAAAAATAAATAAATATATTATTTTAGAATAAAACTATATTAATAAATATATATAAATAACTTTTATAATATGTGCTAACTATTAATGTAAAAGTAACATATTTTTCTTACAGATTAAGACTAATACTAAGTTTAATTCTCATAAAGGATAAGAAATAAAACTATTTTAGTGACATTATAATTTCAGACATTTATTTCTTAAAACATAATATTTATTTCTTTCTTATATAGTGTATACTCTTACCTAATAACTTTTCAGCTAACTGACACATTATTTATTACACTTTTTATAATATTAATAAGTATTTTAAATCAAAATTGTGTTGTGCTAGTCATTTATTAGTTAGTTTTAAACACAATGTTATAATACGATTCTATATATTATGCAACCTTACTTCTGCAACTATTTTACCTCCCCATAAAATTTAATTAAAGTATTGACTAAAGTGATTAATTTTGTGCATCATGTTATGACAAAGGCTCATAGCTTAAGTATTCGTTCCAGAACAAGGAAAAAATTGAAGCTTGACCTTAAATCAATAACATTTCTAAGACCGGGATATAGCATTCACTGGATATGGGACGAATTGTTCATAGTAATTAATAAATAAATAATTTATTATTTTGCAATCAATAGCATCTGTAAATATTAATATTGCTTTTATTTTTATTTGTCATATTTAGTAAAACATTAAAATCATTACAGTAAATAACAGTCGCTGGTTATCAAGTAGTCAATAAATTTATCCTACTAACACTAAGTTTGAACATTTATCCATTAAATAAATTATAGCTACCCCGGTCTTGTAATTGCTTAATCCTATAGTCAACAATGTCTTTTCTTTTAAGAACTAGTGTAGCCGCCATTTTTATCGATCCTATTTCTCCTATCTCGCTGGCCAAGGAATAATCCGTATGTCTGATTGCTGACTAAACACTTGCACAATTATGGAACATTACACATAGGACAATTGTCCTGCACGAACGTTATCACTAGCACATCTTCATGACGTCATTCAGCACATCTATGTAGTTTTCACTGTTTGCATCACTGAAGATGACAATGCTCCAGTAATTTTCCTCATAACCTTGCCCCATAAGTTGAAACTGGTCTGAGTCAATATCACGTCTTCTGCCAGATCCACTACGGTGCTCCAATGAACCCTCTTCTTGAAACAGCTTTAGATATCCATAAAGCGGCAGTCTTTACCTGTAAGGGACGTGTATTATTTATTATTTTCATGTATCGATAACCATGGATAATAAAATAAATAACAAACGGTCATTTATAAGAATACTTACGTTTAAGCCAGTTTCTCTAGAAATTCCAGTATAATTATATTTAAGCTTTGATTATGCAATGCTATTATTTGGGCCCTCGTAGCCATATCAACATTTGAACGCAAATTCATAATAAAAATAAATATTAAAAACTTGTTAAACAAATCGTGACTGAACTCACTCAAAGATAGTAAAGAATGTTATGATTGAACAAAAAGGTTTAATTTTTATACAGTTAATTTTAAATTACCCTCAACTGTTTTGAGATTTATGATCGGGTTATAGTTGCTAAACAACTTCAATATAATAAAGAGTAGGATAATTTCAATACATTTCAAGGTTACGTAATGGCCTTATGGCTAGTGGCATCGGTTAATTTTATGCTACCGAGTTCGAATACTGGTTATTGCGTGCTTTGCTTTAAAAAGGTTTGGAATATCGTAGCATTAATTAATATAAAAATTTATTAAGTTAATAACTTTGTATCTGATAAAAACTATAAATGTATATTTTTCAATACCACTAGTATACTAGCGCCATCTATGTCGTCCATGGTATATAATTAAGGCGATGAAATGCCGTACAAACGATTTTGATTTAGAATCATCCATGCACTTATGACACTGATAGTACAAAAGTTTACGTTTTTAGTTTTAAGTAGAAGACGCACTAGGTTCTACTTTAGACTACCGTAAAAACAGACACAATTAAGTCAATAGATGTTTGAACGCCTGTGTTCGCTTGTGGGGGGGGGGGATAGAATAGAATATTAGTTGTATTGACCTAAACGATTGTTCCATTATTTATAATATAATAATATTTAATTAAAAGTTAATTCTCTATATTCCGAAAAAAACAACTAAAAGTAAACATTTTATTCGAGTTACCTAAAAGTAACCGATGCAGTTCAAAAATCATCTAAAAGATTACAAAAGTAACCTTCTGGCAAGACTGAGTGCGTTATGCAAACAATGTAGGTACCTATTACCCCTTCACCCCACTCCTCCCGCGTCCTACCGAACGGCATGCTCTAGCGGTGATTTTTGATAATTTTGTGGAACTGGAAGATAATGTTTTCTTTTATATTATTATTATATAGGTATTTAACAGTATACGCGTCTGTACCAAAATTGTAAGGTGTATTATACTAAACATTTCAAAAGATAGTACAATGTTCTGCGTTTTCGCTTTTTCGTAACTACCTTAACTTGGTCGGCTTACCACGGTCATTCACTTCCTCATGACTTTAATAGTATTACCTATCTCATTAATTATACAATGTATTGAGCTGAAATTTTACTGATATACAACTGATCTAAGCAACTAATTATTGACATAACATTCAGTTCATATATCCAATCCAGTGGCCAAATAACACCGCGTGCATTAAGACCGTGCTAGTGAAGAACTGAATATCATCATAACTTGTTAAATACTTTTGGGATACTAATGAAACTTCACATACATTTGAAGGCAGTTACAAGCTTTAAAATTACGTTTAAAGTAAGTCTTCAGACTTCTTATTGAGAGTGCTGGGGCCAAGTGAAGTGTTTTTCTATTTAATGAAATAACCTTTAAAATATGCATTATTTTGGTTTTGTTATTGCACAACAAATTTAAACTAAGTCCTCGGAAGTCGTGTACAAAATATGATAAGAATCCGCTTAACCATTTCAAAGATCTAGCAAAACCAAAAACGTTACCGCAGCAAAATCTCGAATAACTTCGCAACCGAAGAAAGAACAAATACAAAATAAGGCACAACATTTACTTTATCTAGACAACTCATTTTATAGCTAATATTTATTTAAATATTCCTATTAGAAAGAAAAAGGTCTGGCTGTGGTAACGTTACGCCAGCAGGAAATGTTTTTGTGAAATAATTAAAAAACTATAAGCGCAACAAATTTAAAAATGTGCGCAACAATTACAGAAGCCGCACAACTAATTATCTATAAGATTCAAATGACCCTTGTCGACAACATCTGGCCTGGGTAACGGACACTTCAACTTTCAATTCTAACATTTTATTCAAAAGAACTTCATTCAACTTTTACTTATTGACTTTTAAAAAGTATTTTGTGTGACTTTTTTCGATTTATTGCTTATTTTTATTTTTTACGACATACGATGCAAATATATAGAATAATTATGTTACGTAAAAACCAATATACCTTTTCTGTTATTTTGTTTGGTGACTGTACACAGTGTCTTTTGTTTTTAATATTTTTTCTGTCACAGGTTTGCAGGAAGTAATTCCTCTAGGAATATGCAGTAGGTACCTTTGTACCTCTTTTTTAGTACATTTGTTGTGTTTAAATGTTTAGTCATTTGTTTGCGTAAACGAATAAATAAATAAATACCAATTCTGTCTGTCAATGTAATAATCGCCAATGTTGCTGTACGCCTGCTTGACTTGCGCATCAGTTGTGCTTGCCGACATCTTCAGTAGTTCGACGACGCGGAACCAATGACCCAAGCGTTTCCGAAGGGCTATGGCTAGGTCTCTGAAATGAATTCGTTTACGTGAATGTCAAGTTTCAAATCACATGGATGCCAGATAGTTTAGTGTTATTGAGTCTTTCAGATTTTGAAAAGGAATAGCACGGAGCCCGGGATTGTGACCATTGGAGGGCAATAAGGTCACACGCATCCTTATTATTATTAACCGTTGTCGTCCCAATCCAGGGAGAAAAGCCCCGCCCCCCCCCCCCTAGCCTTCTTTCACATTTCTCTGCACAAAGCTTTCTGCGGCCAATCCTTGACGAAGATGTCAAGTTCGCCTCGCCACCTCCTTCTGAGCCTGCCTCGGTATCTATGACGCTGTGTGGGTTCCACTCAGTTATGAGTTTTGCCTACTGCTGGTTTGCCATGCGGCGAACATGTCCAACCTAGGCAGTTCCAATTGCGGTCTTCTTGGCAAAAATCAGCGATTTGAGTTGTCAGTACTAACATCAAATTTTAGAACTTGCGAAGAGTTACTATTCACGTTACTAGTCACTTATAAAGTGTAGACTGCCTACATCTTTCCGGAAATAAAAAGTGAAATGTTTTGTAATCAATTAGATGGGTATTCGTGAAATTTTCAATAAATCAATAGTTGATGAGTTTACCAAACCTTCTATCTTCATTGTGGTATATTTTTTCGGCAGCATCGAAATCTTTGAAGTAGGCTAATATTTCAGCCTTTTTGAGAGCATTAGAATGCAATGCGTTCAAACGAGACACGAATTTAATCCCAGCGTAATCGTTGCGTCGCACAAACGCTGCCTCTGCCGTCTCCAGTGCAGATTCAGTCTCAAAATTCTTTAACGCCGCTTCTGCTAGTAACAACCTAAAACATTTGTTGACGATTTAGATAGAATACATAACACAAGTGTTATCAGAAACAACGAATAATTTGCGAATAAAAAAGATAGTGGTGGTTGTTTATGTCTTGAAAGAAGTAACTATGAGTAGGTTTTAATAGTTCGTAGCCTACGGCTTTTTTCTTTAGATGGGACAGCAGTTTAAATTGATTATATGCAAAAATGTGTCTTACCACAGTTGAGGGTGTGGGTTATCCTTTATAAAGTTCTCTGCTTCCTTCAGTCCCACTTTTTCAATAAGCTGTCGTGTATCTCTAAGAGACTTGACTTCCACCCTCACAATATGTTGAGGTGTACATTTATCGTCCACATTGTCCAGAAGTGCGGATGTGATCTCCAATTCCTAGGATTGTGAAAGCGAGTTCAAACAAGTTATTGAAGTGAATGGTAAAAGGTACCGAAATTACTTGACAGTAGATAGAATAAAAAAATAACACAGATTTGTTGTATAGAATCTAGTTAAATGTAGATTTGCCTTTGCTTTTAATATTTATTGTTAAATACAATGTGAAATACATCATTTGTGAAACTTTCATAAAAATAATTTCGTATGTGTATTTTCATTAAGCCTTTATACCAAACGTACCTAATCGGCACAGGTTACCTTAAATTTGCACAAGTATCCCTGCATAGTGAGAGGCTCCTCCGGTTCAGTGTCCCTCATAACGTAAAGCCTTGCTTTCTCTGCGACCGCCAACATCTGTGGGTTGTCGGTGGCCCACAGCGCGCTCCACACGTCCTTCCGTAGCGCTTGACCTATGCTTATGTTGTTAGCCATATCAGTCTCCAGCAAGTACAGCGAGCCTGGCTGATCGATCACGTAAAACTTGCTAAAATAATAACAACCTTTGAGCTTGTTTACTTATTTCATCTCTATAAAGTCATACTTTGAGCTATTTTAGACTAAGATTATCTCTCGAGCAGCAGGTACCTACTAGGCAGGTACAAAGATACGCACCTAGAATTAGAGTTGAGGCCCAACCTATAGGGGCGGGAGTTCATATTTATCGAAGTGATTTTCTTAAAATTTACAAGAGAGAACAGTAAGATGGAGCCGGAATCTCTTCCAATTAAGAGGTGTGTGTCTGAACTTGCGATGCAGCAAATTGTATCGTCCTGGAAAACGGTATCGCCACTCGACATGGGGGACCCGTCCGCTTGATACAACTGTTCTGTAGCACCTGAAAACCATAAAATATCCTATTTTGTGGGTGCAATTACAAACACAACACATATTGATCCGAACCGGCAATAATTACGGGTACTTACGGGGTCTAGTCGGAGTGGAGAATTTCCATATAAGGAATGATTCCTTAGAGGCTGCCACAACGATCGCCTTGCTGTTGATAGTCACATAAACCACTGGTATATTTACCGCTTTAGCTAAAATTAAATACACGCATTTTGTAACAAAACAATCTAAGTAAGAACTATGAGCTTGTGTAATAAACATGCATTTTATGCGTGTTGTAATCCAAGCTAATTATTGGCAATATAGTCAAGGATGTTACACTCACCGTCACATTGTATTCCTTGCTGGTTGGATATAATGATTTGTCCCAAAGTGGCAATGACGCAGTATTCGTCAACTGCACACATATCTATGACATCCGGTATATGATTTATCCAAGACTAAAAAATAGAAATACCTGTATTTATTTCTTATTTCATTATGCTGATCCAAAGTGGCAAACTCACAGCTAGTGTAACCTGTAGCAACTGCGCTTTAAAGCAAAGAATACACGCCCGCCAAAATTCTTCACTTCACTTTATAATTCATGGATCAGGTAAAATTTTGTTGATTTACCTTAGCTACCTACTAAGCAATAGCACAGACTACATCTAGAATTATACCCAGTGTATGGTAACACAGTCATAAGTGGTGAAATGAGGGTATTTTACGTATAGTCAGAGGCTGATCTGCTTCCAGCTCCGCGCTCTTCAACCAGGCGCCCTAGGCTCTTACCTACTTCAGGGATAATAGGGCTCAGTATACGACAATTTTAAAGTGTTAATATATATTACCTGATGAGTAACAGTATCCCAAAAGGTGACGGTTTCTGTTCCCGAAGCGTATGCCAGTGTATTACCGTAAAAAGCGTACTTGTGATCCATTTTGACGTTAGCAAAGTATATAAAGGAGTCAATGGCGATTGCGAGCCGTAACGACTTCTTCTCCCACGACAGAGCTCTCATACTCCCGCCGGGAACACGTAGGGTACGTATATGCTGAAACATCAATTGTTGGGCACATGGATATATAATTCAGTTAGAGTTTTGCGCTACGACTTTGCGCTAAAACAACATCAGAAGATTAAAAACCACCATGTCCTTAAAGTCCCATGTAAGTACTGACTATTTCTTAAAAATCATTTCTCCAAACTCTTTAAAAAGATAAAGGGTAAAAATAGAATCACGTTTACGGCCCAAAAATAAAAAGACATGCAGAATTCAAAAGAAAAACTCACCTCCCCATATGCACTAAAAAATTGAACCACATTCGTCTTGTCCGACGTAAAGCCGGCAGCTGCGAGAATGGTGCCATTGTGGTTCCAGTGGCAGTCTATTATTGACATGTTTGATTCTACCACCACACTATCTGTCAAGCAGATGAAACTTTGAAAATAATTAAGAAAATTACTTTATCTTCCATGTATTCTAACAATTACCGATAAATGCATACAGAACACCTTCAGCCTCGTTGGTCTAACTATGGCAAGTGCGATTGTCGAACAATAAATAGGTTCCGGGATTTATTCCTGTGTAATGTAGTCAACTCATTTTTTTGAATACCTACCTTTTCGGGGATTAAATTTAAACAGAAAAGTACACCGGGTCTGTTTTAACTTTATTATAAAACGATAAATCCTAAAAAAAATTAAAACTGTGTATGTGTTTTATATCTAAGTTTTTAATTAAGTATGTTTGTAAAATGTACTTTACCTTCCTCATTACAATTTTTCATGAGCAATATTATACCGCTCTTGTAAGATATGGCCAGCACAGGTCGATTAGCTGGAGCGCTACCAGAATACCAGTCCATTGTCACTATGTCCATTGACCCCGACACGCCATTAATGGATACTGGCATCTAAAGCAAAACAATATTTTTGGATTTAAATCGGTTAAACAATAAAAAACAGTGCACGTATAGATGTCAAAAATATGTAGGTATGATATTGGTGTGTTACCCCCACCCCACTGTTGTAAACCAGGTGTAGTTTACAAGCCGTGAACCTACGCACCATCAAGATCCGCTGGGTATAAAGGCCTTTAGTCCGCTACGCTGAACACAAACTTAAAACTCTTACTGTAAAATTGCCTTGATCGTCATAAATATGGAGCTCTCCATTGGTTAGCGCAAACAGTAACTGCGAATTATCAGGTGACCACTGCACTGCAGCTAATCCTGGACCCTTGATGTCCTTACCCCAAACTCGCGAACCATCAACTGAGCCTACGATAACTGCTCCTGCAAAGTTAATAAGACATGATTTAAAAAAAAAGAAGTAAAAGACTGCCCGATTGACACCAGAAAGTCAATCGTTCTTAGAACTTGCAAACATTTATTGTTTCTTTGAGAATAACTTAGTGTTTTCTATTTAATTGCTTCAGAAGTTTAAAAGTAATTTTATTGGCAAAAAGTGTGCAGTTACACCCGCTAAATACCTATTGGGTGTGTATTTTATCTTACCATCCTCGTAAGCTATGCAAATCTTTTGTCCATCGGAACCCCAAGCCATGCTCCTCACAGTTGATTTGTTTCTGTTATTTATCATCTCCTCATACCAAGATCCCTGAAATAGAAATTATTAAGTGTGTATTTATGCATTTCATTGTATTTTTATGGCATCAGCGAGCATCCCGGTCAACTAATAGTAAAGGTCATCGGTACCTTCATCGAAAACAATTTATAAAACACATTTTATCGAAAAAATTATATGCCGAAAACATTCTTCGAACAGAAATTCCTCGAAAAACAATTGTGTGTGTGCGCGTTTGTGTGTGTGTGTGTGTGTGTGTGTGTTTGTATTTGCGCAATAAATTACATAACATAAAATTTGTGTATGCACTGATTTAATATGTCAGGATACTTTCTTTGATGCTTAATAAAATCTGTGCATGTAATTTTTACACACACAGGTTTTATAAATATTCTATAAGTACCTACAATTCTTCATCAATTTTATTCGATTAATTGTTATTCGATCATTTTTTTTTATAATCTCATTTATTTTATAAGCCATACGTCCTATGATTAAGTCGGCTATTATTCTTATTCGATCAATTGTTTTCGAGGAATTACCGTTCAAAGAATTGTAATGCGGTAAATTGTTTTCGATGAATTTTCCGCAAATCAATAGTAAGTGATTAGCGCTGCTTATAGACACCTGCAAACCAGAGGAGTCACAGACGTGTTGCTGGCCTTTTAAAAAGAATCTGCTCGTTTTTTGAAAGTTTGAATATTGCATCGGTTCGGAAATACCGCCACCTAAAAACCGTTTTAAAGTTTTGCTATGCGAGGTACAAATTTCATATATTCATTCATATAATCGCATATTTGTTGGCAGTCAACAAATATGCGATTTTCGCGTTCATCTCTGTGAGAATGAAATGAAGAATGAAAAAGTTTTTGCATGGGTCGGTGGCGAAAAGATACGGTCGGTGCCTCGGAGAATGGGGAACCGAACAATTTCTCGGAGCATTCCTCGTGGTCTGGGTGATAGAGAACACATCGCGAGGATTCAGAGGGAGAAGCGGGTACCATCGCCCGAAGATAGAAAGATGCTGTTGTGGTCAGAGACGAGAATATGCATAAAATCAGTATCTATTTCTAGCGTGAGTGCCAGTCTTCGTTAGCCATGAAGAATTTCGTAGCAACAAGTAGGTAGCATAATACAATTAGGTACTAATCCATAACAATCCCGATTTTTGCAATTTGGCTATGGGACCTTAAAAAATATTGTCACATTAGTAAATGCAACTTAACTGAATAAGTTGATGCTAAACACAGAATTTGAGCAGTAGCCTCACCTTCATAACAATAAACAAAATACCTTGTAAAGCATCCAGACAATGATGACTCCATGTTCATCACTAGTAGTCAATTTCTGAAATACTTCATTCCATATAGCAACACACAATTGTCCTGTGTGTCCTTCTAAGCTTAGATTCATTGACAGATTCCCTCCACCTCCTGCAATTAATAAAAAAAGATTGTAATTTTTTTATAAAATTCTCATTTCATTTTCTCATAGATTACTTATACAAGTACTAAAACATTTACAAGTGGACTATTATTTATAATGTAAATATAAGTCTCCAATTTAAAAATTATACTAAGACTCCTATAAGAATCACATGCCACTAGTACAAGTAGTGTTACTAATGCAAAGATTAAAATCAACAGTAATTTAACTAGAACTAGAAGATGAATTTGCATTTGATCTCAGGATAGGCTTTTATTTATTTCACTTTATGCACAAAGGTGGACCTAAATGCATTGATCATTTCATTTTCTACCATGCTAGACTTTTCACTAATATTATAAACCTTAAGAGCTTAGATCTATAGCTGAACAAACCAATCTCCACTAGGTTTGAATTTAAAACCTTTTATTGAGTTGATAGTCAAATTATTATCATTTAAGTAACGGTAGGTACCAGACATAGCCTTAATTAAATTTTATTACCAGATTCTAATTTGAGGACTTTTAACATGCCATCTTCTCCACCAACAGCAATATAACCAGATGAATGGTTCCATGATATGCAGGATACATTTGATTGTTTGGGTATAGCAATCTGAAATATCAAAGTATACTGTAAACATCGAAGGCACCACAGGGCTATATAAGACACATGATTTTAAAGTATAAAAAAATGTTCTGTCAGTCAGACAGTCTCAAGTTCTCTATATTAAAATAACTTTCTAAATTTATAAAGACACCTCTGGCAAAAATAAAGCAATATTGGACTTACATTTACAGATAAAATGAAAATTACTTCTAAGTGAAACAGTGCGAAGAGACCTTTTCTCAGTAGGAGGATATTTATAGCCCAATGATGATAATAAATTATCTTTGTTAAAAAGCCTATTTAAATTGAACAATCATTGAGGAGGATACAGTGGAAACTTGCAAAGTCCAAAATATAATTTTTAATAAGTACTCTTTTGGAGGCATTGTTTTATTTATGTATTTTTTTTTATAAATACATATATACACAGTATACAAGGCAAACATGATTTGATATTGATTTAATTTTAAACAAAATCTAAAGCATCTTGTTTTCAAACATCATCAGAACAAGTACTTTTAAAACTTTTTGATTCAACAAACTTTTAGCAATAAGTATAAATAACTAAAAAGTGGAGTTACGTAGTAAAGTGGAGGACGTAGTAATTACGATAAAACATTATTTAGAAATATTTTGTGTAGTTAAACACATTATTTATACTGTAAAATGTAAAATTAAACACTATCACCATAGAAACTGGTTAGCACAACAATATTACAACATATTATACCTTCTTGCTCATATAAATGAACATTTTAGTTTGATGTATTTCACTTCAAATTAAAAATTATTTTCTTCAATTACTTATTTAAAATAAAGGCTCTTTAATTCATAACAATCTCAACAAAACGCAAACAAAACATCAACAACAAACTATAAACTTCAACATCAAACAAGATTTTAAAGTTTGTGCCGTGAGGTTGGTAAACATAGTTCGATGTCATGGTTTTGACATTTTAGATCTGAATCTATTTCCGGTACTCAGGTCCGGGTCCATTCCAAGCCTTTTGTTTATTTAACATCAGTAATTCGTATTAATAGATGTAAAATATAAGAACGACCATCAGTAACATTCCTAGCTTTTAAAATACATTAATTGTAGCGTGATACGCGAAACGACAATAAACAAAACACATTATTTAAAAAACCAGTATCCAAAGCAATTTGGTCTGATTAAAAAGTTGACTAAAATCAATACAACGACAAAAAAAAAACATGTCAAAAAGATTTTTGCAAATTCTCCGCGAATTTAATTTTGCCTTGTTAATTTTACTTGACTTTCATAAGTGAACTTCGTGCTTTAGCTACCTAACAAGTATTCAATTTTGTGTTTACTAATATTTACCCTTACAAAGTTCGGCTTACCGAGCCGAAGTTTTCTTTGCAAGATTTCAAATAAAATAATAACTAAGTTCATGAAAATGTTGGGTCGAAAACAAAGCCTAAAAGGGGAGCCGGTACTAGCTGACTACGGCCCCGAAGAATCTTTAAATGAGAGTGCAGACATTGAATGGGTTAATAAGGTACATAATAAAGTTATATGGGTACTTTCTTAGCTTTTCCCTTGATTCTCAGTATTAAAGTTGGTTCTTGTATTTTAATATAACATACAATTCTATATTAATAAGCAGTTACAAAAAACAAGCTGATGCTATAAAAATATATAGTTTTCATTAACATATTATTACTGATTAGATTATAAATTTATATAAACTATATTGTTATTTCCTATGGTACAGGTAACTTACTAATTCCACACAAGTCTCTGCCCCTCTTGTGCTTGTGTTTCCATCTGAGTGCATAAATAATAATATAATTTTAAACTATACACATGACTATGTAGTAATTTAAATACATTTTTCATTTCAGTTATGGGTTAGAAGAATACTAAGACTATGTGCTTTACTAAGTTTAATGTCAGTCTCTCTGAACACTCCCAAATCATTTGAAAAATATCCTTCACTTCAAACCATTACATTTGCAGTAGACTGCAGTGTTACACTTTTGTTTACTGCTGAAATGATAGCCAAAATGCATATAAGGGGAATTCTAAAGGTATGTGCTGTTTGTAATAATTACAAAAATTAAATAATTAAATAATAAAATAGAAAGTTATAATTAATTACAAAGTTATTAAGTAGTGTAACACAACTATTAATAATATTATGTAAAACCTATTTTGATAGTGAACTTCATCGTTTACATTGTATAACTCCACAATTCAATACTAGATGCCGTTGTGCGTATGACGTCATATTTTACATGGCGGTGTTAAGATTCTCCGCGACTTAATGACATTTAGAATAGTATGCAAAGCCGCAAAGCGACTTTTCATCAGTAATAAAATAAAATCAGCTGATGACAAGATAAAAGCTACGTGGAAAATAATACAGAATGAGACAGGTAGGAAACGATTAAAAAATTCGGAATTTTGTTTAAACACTCAAAGGGGACAGATTTCGTCAAGCAAAGATGTAGCTCAGGAGTTTGAGGCATTTTTTGCTAATATACCTGTCACAACAACTGCTCATTTAGAATCATCAGCCAGACTATCGTTAACTTTGCTTAGAGAAAATGTCAAATCATGCAAAGACGATTTTAGTTTTCATTATACCAATCCTTTAGAGATAATAAAGGTTTTTAAAGAAATCAAGATCAAATCAACTGAGGACCTTTGGGGACTATCGGTGAAAGTATGCGGATCACTTATCCGAACTTTAGCGCCGTATCTGGCTTTGATTTTCAATAAAAGTATAGATGACGGTGTCTTCCCGAACCTAATGAAATACAGTAAAGTTATTCCATTATTCAAAAATGGTGACACTAAGGAACCAAACAACTATAGGCCTGTGTCTGTTCTGCCGGTTCTTAGCAAAGTGTTTGAAAAGTTAATGCTATCTCGGATGCTTCATCACTTTGATAAACATGCCATCTTCCATCACCAACAATACGGTTTCACTAAAGGTCGTTGTACAACTGACGCCGGTGTCACTTTGATAAAGGAGGTATTCGGTGCTTGGGAGGAAGCACAGGATGCTGTTGGTGTCTTTTGCGACCTCTCAAAGGCGTTCGATTGCGTTGATCATGAAACACTCTTGCTGAAATTAGATCATTACGGGATTAGACATACTGCACTCCGTCTACTAAAGTCATATTTAGAGGATAGGCAGCTGAGAGTTCATGTAGGTGGTTCTAACTCCCGGGGCTCTGAGATAAGAATTGGCGTACCGCAAGGTTCAATTTTGGGTCCGTTTCTCTTCTTAGTGTATGTTAATGACTTGCCATTTCTATTTAAAACTGAGCCAAGAATGGTGCTGTTTGCAGATGATACATCATTAATTTTTAGAATAGGTCGACGTGTTAATAATTTTGACGAAGTAAACAGATCCATTCATCAAGTTCATAATTGGTTTACAGTCAATAATTTAGCACTTAACGAGAAAAAAACAAAATGTATTAAATTTAGCTTGCCCAACGTACACAGTAATGATTGTGACATAATTTTAAATGGGCAAAAGTTAGAATTTGTTAACGAGACTATGTTCCTAGGTATTACGCTAGACAATAAACTTCAATGGGGTTCCCACATAAAGACGCTTTCGGGAAGACTGAGCTCAGCTGTTTTTGCAGTTAGACAGATTAGACAGCTCACAGACGTGAACACAGCAAGGCTTGTTTATTTTAGCTATTTTCACAGCATTATGTCGTACGGAATTTTGCTGTGGGGTCGAGCTGCGGAAGTAGATTCAATATTTATTTTGCAAAAGCGGGCTATCCGAGCGATATATAACTTGCCCCCTCGTGAATCTCTGAGAGAACTATTTAAAACGATAAATATCCTAACGGTACCTTGTCAGTTTATATATGAAAACATTATGTACGTAAGGAAAAATTTGCAATTATTTGAAAAAAGAAGCGATAGACATAATTTTAATACAAGAGGCAAAGATAGGCTGGCTGTGCCACGATTCCGTCTGTCCAAAGTACAGAAATCCTTTATGGGGTTCTGTGTAAATTGTTACAATAAAATTCCAAGAAGTGTATTAAATCTTAATGAACGAAAATTTAAAACTTATATTAAACGCGAATTATGTAGACAGGCATACTACAAACTTTCAGATTATATTGAGGACAAGAATGCCTGGCATCATGTTGGTTCGGCTCCACTGGACAATACTCAAATATGTAGTCATTAGTTATTGAAATTCTCAAAATTAATGAAACCTTGAATGAGTTTATATAGAAGCATTCTTTTGGATTGTGAGTACGCATATGTGAGCACCATGTTCGAGACAACAAAGGATTAAAATTTTAATGATAGATAGACCATCATTTGTTCCTTTTTATTAACAACTTGTCTCTGCATTGTTCTCACATAGGGGTACAGTAATGTATAAAAAATGTATTATTTATGAATTGTAAAACAAATATTTTTTTTAAAAGAGTAACGATGGAGTTTCTTGCTCGTTCTTCTCCATTCGAAACTACAATTTGGAACGAGCACCTAGCTTCACTGACGAACAGACTGACAGACTACTATTCTATTTTGACGTTTCAAAAGTACCTATTTATGGTTTATTTGGAATAAATGATTTTGATTTGATTTGATTTGATTTGACCCCCGCCAGTACATTTGTGTTAGTGTGAAGGCTACTATCAAGGTGCACTCTCGGGCTACATCCTACTTGGAATAGTCATTTGAGACTCCTCTGCATAGCAAGTCATGGACACTATTATACTTTTATCACAATAATTGTATAATTTTTTGGGTTAGAGGACTGCATCCGCCACCTTCGTCCAAGCGGAAAGGGTTGTGTGGGACTGCGCCTATTTTATTTTATCAAAATATATACGTTGACAACATTGACCTGGCTTTCCTTCACGAACGCGTGACGATACCGGAACTACAAACCCTCGTACAGTAGTTATTAAATCCAAAATAATTTATATAAAAAAAGTACCTAATTTAATTAACGAAATTATTTGTAACTAACTATAAACTCTAATAATTTTTTTCAGGGAGATGTAGCTTATTTGAAAGACCACTGGTGCCAATTTGATGCTTCAATGGTATTTTTTCTTTGGGTATCAGTTCTCTTACAAATGTTTGAGCTGACAGGCATAGTACCCAGATACAGCTACCTAAGTATACTCAGAGCACCCAGACCGCTCATAATGATTCGTTTTCTTAGAGTATTCTTAAAATTCTCCATGCCAAAATCTAGAATCAACCAGATATTCAAGTAAGTAGTTTTATTCATAAGGAAATAGATACAGTTGTTTATAGATTCTCATTACCTCATAAGTTGAACATTTTTTGATCATACACTTACTTTGTGTAATTGTGTTTTTACAGGAGATCAAGTCAACAAATCTACAATGTAACCCTATTCTTCCTCTTCTTCATGTCGCTGTACAGCTTGCTAGGAGTGCAGTTTTTTGGAGAATTGACCCATCATTGTGTACGAAATGACACCAACCCATAGTCAGTATAATTCATAAAATCCAGTAATTTCTATTTGATTAAAATTATTTGAATTAATAAATAATAATATATTTGGTTTTTCAGTGAAATCACCATAAATTCCTTAGCTATCCCAGACACATTTTGCTCACCTGACCCAGATTCTGGATACCAATGTCCTCCTGGAATGAAGTGCATGAAGCTCAACTTATCCAAATATGTTATGGGATTTAATGGGTTTGAAGAGTTCAGTAAGTACCTATAAACAAATTCTGCTATTATTATAGTAATAGTTTATGTACAAATGTTTAATTTATCTTTATATCTTTTATTCAGCAACAAGCCTTTTCACTGTGTACCAAGCATCTTCACAAGAAGGTTGGGTCTTTATAATGTACCGGGCTATTGACTCT